GACACGTCCACTCCTTGCCTACTATGGTTTGTTTCGTTCTTTTTGCAAAATTCGAAAATAATTAATTCAATTCGGGATCAAGAACTCAGAAATAGCTATTTAGGAGCATCTCGATAACATTACCAGACATGGGGCACCCTGACCGATTACCGGAGTGGTTGTGATATTCAGAGTATAAATTTTGCAGAATGTCACGAGTACTGGAATGTTCCGTTGCTATGGTCTGTGTCATTGCTGCTAATATCATTTCAAAAACTCTTCGAATTCATCATTTTTCGCCGGCTGATGAAAATGTTTGAGTTGCAGCGGTGCAATGCGCATTTTTGCGCCAATGATGTTAGCAAAGCGTTCAGCACTCAGAATGATACGGATGATGAGGTCAATTTATGAATCTTTCAAATACCCTTGCAATGAAAATTGACTGGATTTTCAAATTTTAATGAATTTCAACGGCGAAAAGTTGCTTTGAAAGTTGCCCAAAAAAGATGTTGTGATGATTTCGACTCCTTAGCATGTGTCAGTACCAATTTACCATCGAAGTGAATGAATAAATCGCAGAAGAACTGATCACCGCATTAAGCTTTCGACCTTCCATATAAGGCAACGGTACTTGACACTGCGCCATTTGTTCCAGCTATATTTCACCAATCATATTTTCTTATTTTTTCATACTCAGTTACTTTATTTCCAGAAAAATTAGCATTTTGATCCGTGCGCAAATAATCCTAACGCACAAAGTGAAAAATTTTTCAGCAGCAGAGTAAAACTTGAACATTATAGATAATTGTATATGAAAGAGTGACAAAGGGATGCCAGACAACTTATAACGATTATGGTACGTGCAAGCCGAGTGCTTAATGCAGATCTACGATTGCTTCTAGCAAAATGAATTGCTTCATATCTAAATTCTGACAGTATGTATGCAATATGTGTAGATAGTTCTGACTGTTATCAGTGGCTTTAACTGTGTCTAATGTGCATCATATTTGGGTATTCTCTAATGTGCTGTTAATAAATTTTAATAATTTCCGTGATAAAAGTATGCGTTGTCACTCAAACTCTCCTTTCCAAGTTTACTTTCAGACATAGATCATAGAGCTAATTTGGCTGTAGAAAGTCTGCAATTCAAGAAAACATTTTTTCGTGAAAAAACTGAAAATCAAGAACTGCGAAATTTTTTATGCTTTCGATAAAATTAGAGACTATTTTTGTTGCGCCACACTCGCTTTTCTTACCTTCACCTTCCGACTTTTACCTTGTGCGCAACGTCACATAATCCAAAATCAACAATTTTTAAGAAATGCAACTCAAAAAAAAAACTGGTAGCTGCCCTTCTCGAAAGAGTATGTCGAGAAACACTCAAACCGTCGGTGTGGGGATCATATGCTAGTGATGTTACTGGCGTGCTATGCCAGAATCCAAGATCCTGAGGTGTAGTCGGTATCTGAAAAAATTAAAATCCACCTTTTTTCTCGCGATTTTGCTTGTCTGCACAATATACAGTTAGTAACATTATAAACAAAACCAAATTCCAGAATTCCGATAAATTTCGATTTGAAAGAAGCTTTCACTGGCTTCTTCTTTGATCCGAAATTCAAGTAAAGCGAACTGGATGGCAGCGAACCAATATAATTTTTCATGTGTTCAACACAGCCCACATGATTTTCTGCAGTTATTTTGCATCCAGTTTTGATGGATCGGCAGTGCACAAAGCCGTTTTAGTGTCCAGATTCCGCAGTACACGTTATTATCTTTGCAATCTTAACAGACGTTTATTTAGTTTAATATAATGAAATAGATTAACTTACAATATCAGCTCAAGAAAAGGGGAGACAAATTTTCTATACAAAAAATTGTCCTTATCTGATGTGAAGAAGCCGCTATATAGAACAAAAAAAATAAGTTAATTTGAGGCGATGAGGGAAAATATCTATTAAAGTCAAGAGCAAAAAAAGTCTGTTAAAGCCGTTTTCGCTCCTGGAGGTGATCGGAAGTAAACTCGGATGCACCAACTGCCGACAGCAATCATGCCCTGACAAACTGTCAGTGGCTTTTATAAAAAAAGAGGTAAAAAAAAATAAAACTAAGCAAGCCTAAAATCAGAAGCATCAAATGGATTAGTTCTGAAACAGGGT